TTCTTTTTTTCTAGCAAACCTATGGGCCTATTCGACCACGAACTAAATTTCGGGATAAAGATACATGTAAGATCTTAACTCCGTTTGCATCATAAATTATCGATAAACGCGTTTCTTTTGCGTTTTGAAAATAGACGAAATATCGTTTTCCCAGAAGCAAAATAAGCTTTTAGTTTCTTCGTTCCTCCCAGTTCCCAGTCAAGTCTGAATGGGTATTTAAGAATATTAAAACCATTTGTTATTTTTGAACAATTTTTAATTCAAAATTCTATACTGAAAAATACTCTTAATGTTAAATGCTTAAAAATCCACTTTGTCCCGGGTACTCTGAGATGGGATTCGAACCCATAACTGCTCGCAATCGGGGCGACTGCTCTAACCACTAAATTACCCAGGACCTAACGGGACTACCGAACTTTTTAAGTACTTGTTACTTTTTCGCTACTACAGAGCGTATTTTCATCAATGTTCAGGCAATCCACCCAAACAACTGAAATAAATATTTTCACAAATATTTCAAACTTCCGATAAAGATGAAAATTTGTTCTAATTATTATATTTGATCGATGTTGCATTCACAATGCTATACTTTAAATATTCTTAATGAAAACCGCTTAAAAATCTACATTGTTTTCATTTCATTTTCAATTTATGTTTTATTACTCAACAGTTTGATTTCAATATATGTTTTATAGTCAAAAAGACTTAGATATCGATATTGAATGTTATAAAGTATTATGAAGCTGTCATTTTTATATCCTTAAAACCCTTACTCAACTTCCCTTACGCCCATAGAGGCAAATTAACTTTCTCCTCTGACGAGTTAACTTGCCACTGTACTTATTAATGAGTTTTGCTTTACTCACCCTCATAAGTATTTGATATAAAACTGTAGCTAAGAATAGAAACTCATCTATAGTCAATTTGCTTAACTCAAGAAACACTTTTCCCTTTACAAGTCTAGAATTCAACTTGTCTCTAAAAAGTTTCTCTCTGAAATATTTCTATTATCAATTTTTATGATCATTTCATCGGCATCTTTCAAATCCGTCTTTTATAAGAAGTCATGAAGAAATAAATAGGAATATATAATATTATTACATCAAGAGAATAAAGTTTTAAAATAAACTAGCAAATAATTAAATTAAATCATGATATGCGATTAAAATTACGTGATTTCAAAGATAAAGGTACTTGCAATTAATTCTTGATGTCTGTGATCTATATAGGGTTGCTAGATCGCCAAACTTAGTAGCCGGACAGACTAACCAGTTTAGTCAAACATTTGGCTAGAAAGGCCGGACTCTATATTATTGTGGATTTTGTGTCTCAGTATTAACAGGTATGGCAAAAAATTGTATGTAAAATCAAGCTTTTTTAGTCGAATCGCCTGCGCCTGTTAATGCTCAGCGCTAGCTCATAAAAACATAAAAAAAAACTAAAAAAAAGTTGGACAAGCTGGACACCATTTATTTTGGCCGGACACGCAATCAAAAAGCCTACCTATGTCCAGCTATATCCGGACGCCTAGCAACGCTAAATCCATAAGTTATAATAATGATCTTCTCCTTTGTTTTATTTATTACAAGATCTCTAAGATCTTTCTTTACAAAATATCCGATTTTTTAACCGACTTTTAAATCCAAAAGGAGGAAGGTTGTATGTTCGATGGCGAGGTATGTTTTTTTATGTATGTTCAGCGATTTTTCCGCCAATTGTCGACCGGTTTTTTAAATTCTTTTTTATTCGACAGCTTAATGGACCGAGGTGGCACCATTTAAATTTTATCGAAATCGAATCAGTAGTTTCCTTTTTATAACAAAATAAAACATGCTTTTCATCATATATCAACCTAAATATTTATATGATATGTTTATTTCATGTATCTCAGCTACAATAACAAAAACTGCGTATTTAGAATTCATTCGAAATCTGAAAGGAGGATATTTTATGTTTTAAAAGTATGTATATTTTTTAAGAAAGTAAGTATATTTTATCAGTTTTACATTTACAATGCTTTGAAAAAATATTCTTAAGTTATTTTTATTAAGCTGTATTAAAAATTGAGTTAACTTTTCTAACCAAAAATACGACAACTTTTAATAAAAAAATATGCCTCCCTTAATAAGTTTGGGTCGGTTTCATTAGCAATGCTAATCTACGTTTAGCACTTATATTTATGATCGGAAAGTGTGCCTGCCGCATTTCGTAATATTCAAGGGCAATTAAGACCCTAATAACAGTTATTTGTACACCCAGCGCCATCAAATTTAACGACATCACAACTAAATTGAAAAAGTTTTGTTCCAGAACAGCGTCACTGTCATATTATTAAAACTTTACCTTTGATATCATGATAAGTAGTTGAAGCGTTGATTAAAAATTGTCTATTTTTTGTTTAACTTTAGTTTAATTATTAGTGACGCCTTTGTTTTAATAGCTGTACGGGTGTTGAAATTTTAACTCTAACAGTCATTAGCTAGAAATTCGATTACGGTTGGTTTTTATAAGATAATAAAATTTAAGAAATTCTACAACACATATAAAGTTAGCCATCATCATCATTGTAAAAAATTAAATTAAATTATTTTAGAATAGGTTTCCGCATCCAATTTTTTTTTGTTTCATCTTTAACATCGTTTCATATTTTTTATTCATTTTTCGAAATTTGAAATTTAGAGTAACGCGAAAAAAGAAAAATATACAAGAAGTTTGGATGCGGAAATATACGACAAAATAAACGGTGTGATACGATGCACCGTTACATCGTGATCATAATCAGCCCATAATTGTCCACACTGCTGGGGTACAGGTCTTCCCTATGGATGGAATTGATTCGAATAGGATGAATTTCACAATTGGCTTGTTTATAAGCAGATCCGTGTCCACGCGATTTGCCAATTAAATCATTATTCGTACTTGGAACTCGCACAAATAATGATCTCAACAATATTATACGTCATTGGCACAATTGTACTTACGAGCGCGATTATCTTTCAATTTTCGGGCAGTGCTAATGACGTGTAATTCTTCCTTTGCGTGGCACTCATCATTATCTTTGGATAAAACTTTGAAAATTTCTTATCACAGTTTTAATCTAACCTAATCAAAAGTTCTGTACTTTACATAATAAAAATTGAAAAAAACGTTCAGATTTTTTTCCTCAGTGCCCTGCGACGTATATTCCAACGCAAAACATGGTTCAGGGCTGTCATGATTTTAATGTCACTGAAACATTGTTGGTGACCTGATACGCAAACCTTTTTAGCAATTTATATAAAAAATTCTCAGTTCAAAATTAATTGTCATGTACATACCTAGAATTAAAAAAAAAGGAAAGCTACTTCAGTCAGAAGTAAATTATCACAAAGGAATAAACCAAACTTTTGATAACATGATACTTTGAGGCCTTACATATAATATGTAATCAAAGGTTAACATTATTACAGCCAACGTTTTCGCCCCTTTTCTACATTAATTTCAATCTAAATAATGAATTGGAATATGTGAACTTTGAATATTTTTTTATATGCGTCATCTAATGATTAGCAAGTGTTATTATAAAATAAACACTCTTAACCGTCTGGTTAATAGATCCAATATCTGAGCCTAGCATCTTAGCATAAGATGATGATATGATGATATTAGACACTGTACTATCATACTTGGATGGGACCTAATGTAAAAAAAAAATTAGGAAGAGTTTGAAAGTAACGATATTAATAAAATAAAAATATTAGCAACTGTTAATATGGTCTGGAATAAAGTAAAGATAAACGATTGTGCATATCGACGCCGGAAAGCAAGCAGTAACCCGCAAAACCAAAAGTGTTCTTCAGAGTACAAAAACTTTTATTTCTTATCGATAAATAATGCCTATAAACGTCCAAGGTAACAAATAAGGTGTTCCTAAGGTGATTTATACGAACATAAGCTTTTTTTTGGAAAAATATAAAGATTTTCCACTCTAAATGTCCATTTTGGGTTTGCAGGTGTTTGCTTTCTAGCGTCGATAAGTAGAAGTTAAGAGTATGAATGCAATGTATGAATATGAAAGTCGAAGTGAGAGACTGTGTAAGATGATATGGCTAAGAAAAGGGTGAATATTTATATGACGAGTGATCATAAACTACAAAAAGATTCTTAGATTTTCGTATAAATATCATATCTTAGCTAGGTCCTTTATCTGTAATTGGTCAATCGATATTTATATTATATGTTAATAACTTCTATCTATATCTTTAGATGGCTTGTGAGATAGGCATATACAGCATTATATAATAATGGTATAGTAATCATGTTACACAAATCCGACTATATTTAGATTAATTATATTTTCTTTTAATTACACCTGACTATGGAATTATGTTTAAACAAATCCTAATTAAAATTAGATTTCTTTATTTTTTTTTTAGTTAATTTACTTTAGAGAGTGAGAGGTGCTACGGAGTTGGTGCCAGTGGTTTACGACTCTTATTACGTTTTACAATTTAGAATTTAATGTTGTATATCTACACTTTGCCATAGATACACATATTTGCTTTAAATATATCTCTCTGTTCAATCTTCCTATGGTTTGTTTATATTGATCGATAAACCATATAATAAGCCACAAAAATCGATTCTATTCTAATCAATGTAAATGACCCACTGTCGCAAATGTTCATCGTAACATTTCACTGTTTTTAATTTATTCATATATGTGTGGTTACCATAGGCTGTTAAGTTTCTGTGAGGATTTCAGTGCAACTGTTAGAGTTTGTTTTGGCTTTTTATCCCACTAAAGATGAAGTAGATGGCATCTTATGTTGTGTAAGTCTCACTATAGTTTTTATTTCGATTTCTATTCCAAAATCAGGGTTATAACTCTTTATTTAAAGTAATAAGTACCACTAATATAGGTGAACCATTTTGATTGAACATTGAATCCAGCACAAATGGTTTCCCGATCTTCCAAACTCTTATTTTACTTAATTAAATCACTGTAAAAAACCTATGACATGAAAAACTGCTTCCTTTTTGCTAACAGGGTGACACTCGGCAACTGCATGGGTCTTGGTTTGCGGCCATACAGCCCCCCGTGGTGGGGCCAGCTCGCTTGGTTCATCGTGTTCGCTCTGATGCTACTCCTCGCCATCTTAGGGAATACTCTCGTCATATGGATAGTTCTTGGTAAGAACTTCTTACATTTTTTTTATAGGCTCCGAATGTATTTCATTTATTTTACCTCGAATATGTTATGCTAGCGACCCTTTCTATCTTCAGAAAGGGATCAATTTACATATAATAATTTCGAATTCGATATGACGTAAATTATATACCAAAAGCTTCCTCGTATTAGTCCGTTTATTGGTATAAAGCAACACGATAATCTGTTTCGGAGTATTTGAGTTTATCACCGTCTGACGGATACACAAGACCAAAGGGTTTTGTTATATGAGTTCTATAAGAATATTTTATTAACCAAATTTATACTATAATCATTATACTAACCTAACTAAACATATTTTTTACATTACATTACCAGCCCTTTTAAGTCCCCACTGCAGGGGCTCAGGCCTTCCTTACGGATGGTTAAGGAGGATGGGCCATGACCCTCCACGCTAGCCCAATGCGGATTGGAGGATATTAACGACTGCAAATGCAGCCGAGACCAACGGCTTAACGTGCCTTCCGAAGCACGGAGTAGCTCGAGATAATAATTTTTGGTCACCCATCCCGTGACCGACAAATTATACAATTTTAATTGAAAAAATATATAGGTACCTACATGTAATTGTTGACGGATACTCCTGATTCGAATCATTAAATTAGGCAAGTACACAGTAATTTAAGGTACATAATTATTTTATCATTATGACATTTAAATATTATTTAAATATTATTTTTCGGGATCAATATTAGAAGCAAATTGTGCCATGATGTACTAAAAAGTTAAATATTTTTGTATAAAATATGTAATCTCGTTTTCTATATATTTCCTTTTGCAGTTTAAGCGTCATTTTTAATTTGGCTAGTGATCAATTTTACCACGCAATTGTTTGGTCCAGTTATATTACCTAGTATAGTATATCTTTATATTCATATAAGTTTAAAGTGACTAACTGACTGATACATACTTATACATACAGCTCAAGTTACTAGACGAATAAATTGGACGCAAACAAGTGCCGCAAGGCAGGCAACGGATTATATTAAAATTTTATGACGTCTTCAACATAATTCTGACGTCAAAATAGACAGTTGCATTTCCATAAAAGCCTCTATGAAAAATGCGACTGCAGTAGAAGTATGATATCGACAAATCCGTGCAGCAATGCGTTACGTGTCGTGCGGCCGGTGCGTGCTGAGACAGTGGACGACTACCTTAATAGTTATAAATATATTACAAAGAATCAAACGGCCAAGATAAAATTTTTTAAATTAAAAGCTTATTAAGAGGTTTCAAAATTGTGGGCGAAGCCTTGAGCAGAATGCTAATCAAATAATAAATGGGTTATGAGCACTCATTCAAAGAATATTAATACCTCCTACGTCAATTGTTATTTTTAGATTTAATAACAGATTTTCATTTGAATTTACAAAATCATTGAATGCGTCAGCAGATTTTGGGAAAGTGAATCGTTATAAATGTTATGAATTAGTAATACAAACACCCTGTTTACATAGACCTAGGTTCATAATTAATTACATTATATTGGATCTACTAAGTAAATTAAATATTTAAACGAAGGTTATATTTTTTGTTATAAGAAGTGTTCTTGTCATAGGATATAATATTTTTATTTATATTAATTGTAAGTCCCATTTTCATAGTGTCAGTAATTGAAGTAACCTACGTAATGCGTAGTACATAGACGTGAACATACTGCTGTTTTATAAAAGATAACCTCGGTTGAAATTAAATTATTTATGTGACAATACGTTGTAATAGACACTACCAATTAACAACTATGAAGTCCAATTAATTATAGTACATTTTGTTTTCAAATTAAATATAGAAGTTGACGACCGTGGTGAACTACGAGTAGCTTATACAGTGGTGGTTTATTTTAATTGGTTAATATATAGACATAAAAACTATCGATCTTCAATTTGTATGTCTAGCTGTATCCCCCGACTTGGTCCTCGTAAATAATAGCATATGTCACCCGCATATGATGTAATTTACCGAAGATGACAATTTTTTTTAAATATGCCTGTAGTTACCGGAGAGCGGCGGAGCTTACCTATTATTAGCAAACAAGAAACAGCTCTATGATAAAGTGGCTTTATATCAGTGAAATATATTTTTAAATCAATCCAGTAGTTTTGAATTCATACATTACAATCAAATATTTTCTCTTTATAATATTTTGGAATATTATTTCAAAAAAGTTTTAGTACTTTTTCACAAAAAAAAACACATGCACATGAAGCCGAAATTTAATAAATTTTAGCAACTATCCTTTTACGGCTTCTTGTGCATGTGCTTTTTTTTTGTGAAAAACTATTACTAACATTTTTTTTAAATAATATTCCAAAAATATTATAAAGAGAAAATATTTGATTGTAATGTATGAATTCAAAACTACTGGATTGATTTAAAAATATATTTCACTAATATAAAAGCTCATTTGAATCATCACTACGATAAAATTACTATGCAAGAATATGGAAACCAGCCCTCGAAATGACACTCTTACCGCGATCATCTACGAATAAGATTCCCTTTTATTTTTACCAAAAAGCCGAAATAAGAAGTATAATTATTTATAGGCACAGTTATAACGTATCGAAACTCGTAAGAGGATTAATCTATAAAATTCTGATATAATTATTCGTCGGAGTTTTTCGGAAACCCAAGTAGGGCTATAGAAATCCAAATATAGATATAATAGAGGATTTATAATATTGACTTATGTTGATATTATGTTTATTTTCTGATCTGCTCTGAATAGTATAATATCCTTTGTAAAACTAAGAATATTTTTGAGCAAATATTTTTTTTTCGTGCAAAAGGCGTTCATTTGGCTAATTATAACGTATCAATGGCATTTAAATTGTATTTTGGCGCTGGATTATCTACTGCAGACTTTTTTTAACGCCGAAGAAATTTCCTTGAAATTTTATGGTAAATATGTTTAGACGATTGTACGAATTTAGGGGAAGTTTGGCACCATTCGTACACGGGGAACCTTCATACAGTCACTACTACATCTTGTAGAAAAGCCTATTTATTACGTCTTTATGTTAGTGGATAGGCGCCGGCGACTGCCAGTTGTCCACGAAGTTAGCCACACATGCAGCCACTGCGAGCGAAACTAGAGAACTTAAAGTGTTTTGGCATGCTCATAGTAAATATTTTATTAATGTTTTTGGATCTTCCGTGCTTTAATCATACGTCAAATTTTAATGAATTATTGCTTAATCGTAAGTGAATACGATTAAGATAATAATATATATCTATATTGTGTATTTTTCTACGTGGGTTTTGTGTTAGAAAAAATAATTTTATTATTGATCTTCGGGGCACGTTCGTACATTTCCAGAAAGGGTACATTCGTACGCGTATATGTGTACCCCCCCTAACAATTTTTATTATTATATCAGAAAATTTAGAAAAAATGATCTTAATTTTAAGAAGAAAAGGCAGACACGTTCCCAATATTAATTAAATGAGTTTTTTTTGCGTCTGTAAAAGGTGTTTTTAAATAGTAAAAAACAAATTGTTTTACTGAAAAGATTAACCAATTGAAAAAGTTCATAAACACATTTCGGACTCACGATATTGGAAGTCACAACACTATCAAATGATTATGATTATATAAATGTTTGCAAAATTGTTATGAAACTGGCTTCGCTGATATAGAATGGATGCACCGTTTTCGTAAAAAGATAGTTAGACTGTAAGCCTATATGTCGTTTAGTTTATCACATCGTTGATAAGTTTATGATCAATGAAAACGATTTTTTTTATTCATTTGTTGTTTTACTTAATATATATGAAGTTACCACACTGTCTGAATGTTCCCCGGCCCATGTACGATTGTACCCCTTAATAGGGGTAGATTCGGACATTTCATTAGCTTTTAGTAAAATTCAATCCTTTGATATATTATACAAGATATCGACTTTGAACTTTTTAAATAAGGAGCAGAAAGTATGCTTTATATTTTAATAAGTAATTGAGTAATTTATCTTTGATTATCAATATTTTAAAAATCATTGACTAAAAAGTGTACGAATGGTCCCAATCTTCCCCTATTAGGATTCTGTATATAATCGATTGACTCAATTACGCTTTCAATCCCTAATTTCTAAATAAATAGGGCTTAAAATTTGCATTGCATAATCAATAGTACTTTGAGAATCTTATAGATGAAAATGGTATCAAATCTGTTGTACCATTATTTAAAATTAAAGTTATTAAGAATGATATTGATATATATATTAATTACCATTATTTGGGAGGCGCAGGACCGATCACGTTGGAAATCTTTGGGGGAGGCCTATGCCCAGCAGTGGGCGTCTCTCGGTTGATATGATGATGATGATGATATATAACATTATAATTAAGAAAAAAAAATATTTTTCTACATATATATTTCAGTATACTATAACATAATAAGTTTACTTTTGTCATATTTTTTTTTACAGAATTGATTACAAAGTTCGACAAGATTAAGACTTAATTAAGACTAGTTTTTGTAACAGAATTGCTACCAATAATAAAATTAGTGGACTCAGACTTTACTTCAAATTGCAATTTATAAAATAAACTAAATTACTCAATTTGGATGATATTATTCGAGTAGGTACTAGGCCCTTTCAAAGACTATCTCACTTAAAAGTAAAAAATATATATTTATTAACAATTTCAATGCCCACATAAATTCTACAATTCTATAGCTTTATATAAAAGTACATAATTGGCTTCCCAATTGTAGCGATTCCACTTTACTTCTACATTAATGTATCTAATGGAGCTACGAAAAGTTTAATGCTTCTATATTTGAAGTGGAAAATGGAATATTTTCACATTACTTTGACTTCATATATAATACACAACATTGTTGAAGAGTGAATGTCACTAAGTATTATGTATGTAGAAAATATAGTTTTTGAATTCTATTTTAAATATTACAACCTCCGCGACCATGGTCCACGCGTCAGTTTCTAGATGGCGTCATCTCTGAGGTCCCGGGTTTGATTCCCGGTTGGGTCAAAGTAGAAAATGAAGTTTTCTATATTGTCTCTGATCTGGGTGTTGGGTACCTTTGTTGTCTCAGATACTCCAAAATACGAGAGTTTAAGCTACTCATCTTGGAATCTGAGCAATGTATGTGATGTTATCTAATAATTATTTATGTATTTATTTATATAATTATAACATTAATAAAATAAGATATCTTCGCTCGTGATGTGAAAACATGGTAATTTATTCAGGTTAAGCCTGTTATAGACACATCATCATCCTATTAATATCACCCCTGCTGGGTTATCGGCTTTTTCTATAGATGAAATTTAATCGAACAGGTAGAATGGGGCATGAATAACCACGCAAATTTAGAGCAAACAAAAACAATACTCTAGCTTAAATATTATTACAAAGTTTCCATACTTGACCGTCCGGGAAAGAGGGCTATTCTCAAATAAGTATTAAGCAAGTGGCCACTACCGTTTGTCTCTGTGGCTTGTTTATTCATAGGTTTTTTTTTTTGTCTGAGGCAATAAAAAATTATTTATATTATTAAAAGTGTAGGTATTAACAACTGCAGATGCAGCCGCGACCAATGCTTTCCGTGCCTTCTGAAGTGAAGGTATAAGACGATAAATTGTCCAATATAACTGCACCATCGACTTCCTCATTATAAACACCAGTCTCCCTTAAATAAATTAATAATCTATGTGAACATATATATGTTTCCTTAGTTATATTTGTAAAATTATAAGATAAAATAAGGTTATTCATTATTATTATTACTTTTTTAGGCAAACAGTTATCTTTGACATTAATGAACGAGCCTCTAACACTTACCGCGTTCGTGAAATTGTGAGAAAAATATAGGTATTGAAATACTGTATAAAATAGTATAATTTTATAAAGAATATGATCGATAGTATCAGAGTATCAAAAATATTAACATTATATCTGTCTATGCATAATAATTTTGCTTAATGAAGTAATGAAAGTTTGAAATGAATCACAATGATGTTCAAATACCGTTTAGGGTTTTATAATTTAACCAACTGTCGATTTAAAACGAGTCAGTTGAGAATATTTTCATTAAAAACACGAAAAGGGGAATCTAATTAGAAATTTCAGCGATCAAATATTCATTGAATCTTTTTTTAAAGTCTTCATTTCTGCTTTAATCACAATTTAATATATTTTGTAAAGCGTAGCTTGACACGTTGAATAAAATTATTGATACTAATAATTTAAAGAGTAATGATTTGATTGTTTATTTACATCGAATAGACTCCGAAACTACAGGACAGATTAAAAAAAAAACTTTAATTCACATCATATGCGCGTTACATAAGATATTACTCGGACAAAGTAGGGGAAAAACAGCTACTTTAATATTCTTGAATTCTTTTTAGTAGATGTACGATCACATATATGTATAATAAAAATAATTTATATTTGTCATATGAATAATATACTACTTTGTTCACAGCCCATCGAAGAATGCGGACAGTCACCAATTGTTTTCTAGTGAATCTTGCTGTGGCGGACCTTTTAATGGCAACATTAAACGGAGCACCAAATTTCGTGTTCCTGGTCACTGCTCATTGGCCCTTTGGGGCCGCTACGTGCACAGCTAGTAATTTCACTGCAAACCTGACAGTGTCGGCCGGTGTCTTTACTTTAGTAGCTATAACAGTCGACAGGTAAGTTGACATGTGTATTTATTTGACTTTTTCTTATTTATAAATCAGGGGTTGACAACCTTATAAAGGAAAATTTATTTACAATATTTCACAAACATTTTTGAAAGAGCCACTTTCGTAAAGAAATATAATTTAAATTTCTACTTCAAATTTTATTTTTAATAAACGTCTTTCAATATGTTTTTCTTATTCATATTTAGTATATTTCAGTCGTATTATAATAAGGGTATTCAAGTATATATCGAAAGCACAATTTAATGGATTTTGACACAACATGAAATTGGAGAGATACCGAAAATGCCGCATGCGCGTGCTTGGCAACTCCTGTCATAGCCGTTATAAATTAATTTATTCACAAAAATCATAATCGAAAATGATCAACGCTTTATAAAGCGTAGCCATTTATTTAGTAAGTATGGGAGTGATCTTATATTACAAAAAAAAAAATTCTAAATAGGGTCTCTTGGGATTATATGGCGTTATAAAAATATGATAAATTATAATTTTGTTCTGTTGACTCAAATAATTATTAGAAATGATAATAATATAGTAGAATAAGGAACATAACATTATTTGCTACCTGGAGGTGGGCGCTAATGATTGCACTTCAGTTTTCTTTTTTAAACTGAAGTGCAATCATTAGCGCCCTGCGACCGCAACTATTATCGTACACTATACTTTTGTTAAATTATTTGTTCCAATAAATGTTCCAATAAAAAATACGGTTTACAGAATATTTAGTTCCTAAATCGGCAACGAATATTTTGATTTAGTCTCATTATTTTGCTAAGTTAGTTTCATTTAATTTTGTTTAGTTTGATATCATTAAGATATGTTATTATATTAGAATATATTTATTTAAATTATATACTTAAATAAAATTGTTATCTTCCAAAGATATTTAACTACAATATTCACTTGTGATAAAGATTTTATTCACAAGAATTAAGATGTTTTCATTAAATTGTAAGGTACAATAATATCAAAATACGTTTATAGTAAGTACTATTATTTATTATCACTGCTAACTAGAAATTTTATCTACTAATACTATTAAAGTATTATATACTGGATATGGATAACAGGCTTATTAAGTTAATTGTTTCTATTCGAAATTTATTTAACAGTTTTATGGGCATTACATTTAAAATATTGTTGGATTTTTAATATTAATAAAAGATCTCAAACGTTGTGTAACACAAATACATTCTTTATTATAATAGATTTAATTAATTTTGATGAATGTACACCATTTATCTTCATTCTATTGTCACTAACAGATGGTACACAATCAGATAGACGTAATATACCCGATGACAACCGTTTAAATTAACATTATTAGTGAATAGTTGTTAGAATAATTTGCTATTAACAGGATGGCGGCTATGATTATTATTTATATTGAGTCGTCGATACTGTATCAGTTAATCCGTAATTATCTCGATTGAAATAGCGCTGAAATATCGGGGACTCGATAAATATAAGCTAATAAAAGCTAAGTCTTTCGAACAGTTTCAATGTGTCGCCATCTCTGAGGACCTGGGTGCGATTCCGGTAGGGTCTAGAAAATGGACTTTTCGATTTTGTTTCGATTTTGGAGTAGTACCTACCCTCTACGCCGATTTTCGATATATCGGTGAATTCGTTGTATCGCATGCTACTACGGTGCACGTTGTGTTCGATCGAATTATCGAACGTTATTACATTTGACATCATAACCTATTCTCTACTGCCAAATGACAACGACGAATTGGAAAAAAAACATATTTTTTTACAATTCCAACGACGTAACATTTGGTATTGTCCTAAAATTAGTTTTAGTTTTTTATAGCTTATTTTTAGTTTTTGTTATAATTATGAGTTTTTACAGAAATTTAATAGTTTACTGACATTCATAGTTCTCAAAATGGAAAATATTCACCTATTTTTGCAAAATATTAGCAACAGCGTGATGTATATATTCATCATCAGCCCTTTTACGTCCCCACTGCAGGGGCTCAGGCCTTCCTTATAGATGGTTAAGGAGGATGGGCCATGACCCTCCACGCTGGCCCAATGCGGATTGGAGGGTATTAACGACTGCAAATGCAACCGGGACCAACGGCTTAACGTGCCTTTCGAAGCACGGAGTAGCTCGAGATAATAATTTTTTTGTTACCCATCCCGTGACCGACCCTTGCGAAAGTTGCTTAACGACAAAGATCGCGGGCCGCGGCGCTTATGTATATATTATCTGTATATAACTTTCCGGTTGCCGGTAAAGAATTACTAATGGCATTAAGTCCGCTATTTGTACTGTGTGCAAAAAAGTTTAAATAAATGTTATATAGCCTGTAGCTTTCCTCGATAAATGGACTATTCAACACAAAAAAAAAAATTCCATTCGAACCAGTAGTTCCTGACATTAGCTAGTTCAAATAAATAATCAAATTCTCCAGTGTATAATTGGTATAGATAGAAAATTTATGTGTATAAGTGATATGTAATAATTACTTAACATAGTATTCATCTACAACTACAATGCATCTAAATACCTAGTAAAATAAAACTCGATAGGGCTAGTATTTATTATTATTGAAAATACGTGCATACCTTTATACTTTTCAGTTTTTTCATCCTTGTTATATTTGATACAACACATATCAATATTAAGAAAGGGTTTCACGTACTTTTACGACTTCTTAATAGCTAAGGTCTTTTTAATATTTCGCTTTAATACCTACATGCGATATAAAAATGTTAGTAGCGCTTAATCTTTTTTGAGCTCTCCATCTTAATTTATGCGCGGCACGGAATTCGAAACAGGGGATGTCAATATTATTAATATAAAAGGAAGAGAATTAACCTAAGCTGCTGCTGGACTTAATTGTGACTTCTGCTTATAATGAAAATTAAGTACCCACTGATATCCTTGTATTTAGACAAAGTAATATTGATAATTGTAGTAAATTAGATATTATTTTAGCGTTACATTTAGGTAAGTGTGGGGAAATATGAAAATATAAAACATACGCAGAACTTGTCTTACCATGTCATCGATTTTCCTTCCTACATTAAAGAAAACTTCATTCCTACATTAAAGAAAACCTAGTTTTCAGTTTCGGAATAGAAGGTGGATGTTTTGAAAATAAAACTCACAATATTTCTTCTTATATACCGTTTGTGTTAATGTAACTGTGGAACGTGGTGTCTAAAATGAAACAAGTAACAAAAGGAGAACTTTTACGCACTTTAACAAGTTGACTGTTGTACGAGTATTATCGTTTAGAACACCTGCTATAATAAATTAAAGATACGAAAAACAATCCTTATTATTCATTTTAGTATTCACAATGCTATAAGTATATTGATTAATATTGAAATGTCCAACAATCTGGTTTTGTAGTTTAAAATTTATTTATTACAAATAAATTGTATTTTTGTTCTATATAATTCTACTCTTTATAATACTATAGTATTATAACCTGTTTGTAGATTATAATAATGTTATTAAAATAAGAACATAATCACTACACCACATAATAGGGGTTAATGTATGAAATTGCCGATTTGTACGGAAAATCATAATTGTTTAATTTTTAACAAATTTATTTAATCAAAATAGTTACCATTATTATCTATACATTGCTGCCAAGTTTATTTATGCCTTTGATAGAACTCTGAGGATCTATACTGCATAAACTGTGTGAAAGCATTTTGTACTGCCTCCTGGGAAGAAAACTTTTTATTACGTAGATAATTATCCAAATCATCAAAAAAAATGGTAGTCCGTCGGAGCAAGGTCTGGCGAATACGGAGGATGATGAATGGTTCCTAACTGCAGATCCTGAAGGGTCAAAACGGTTTCTCGTGCTGTATGAGGTCTTGCGTTATCATGGAGCAATAAATGTGAAGACCGATTCATTAATCGGGGCTGTTTTACTGCTAGCTTTACCAACATTGTTCAGAGTTCGGCACAATAGACATCTGTCGTTATTGCTTGACCAGATCGGAGAAAACTATAGTGAATAAGGCCATGCTGAGACCACCAAATAGTTACCATTACCTTTTTATTAGAAATTTTTGCTTTAGGACACTGCTGTGGCGTTTGACCTGGGGTAATGGCTGACCCCAGTTTAAATGGCATTTTTCTTTTACGGTTATCATAAAGAATATTCCTTCATTTCTGTACCGATTCAACAAGGCAACCATGCCGTTAATTTCTGGGTAGTTTGACTAGGGTCAACTTCCTCCATCTCTCTTAATTCATCGTTATTCACCTGTGTGGGCGGTCTTCATCGTTCTTCAAGTCGAAGTTTCCATTACAAAAACGTTTAAACCAAAATGGTGCGTTCATTAGTAGACCCCTCTCCAAACGCAACATCGATATTGCGGGCTGTTTCTGACGTGTTACTTCCACGTCGGAACTCGTATTCAAAAATCACTCGAATTTTAAAAGTATTAATATTTCTTGTCTAAGTTGAATAAAAAAAAACAATTGAAAGTCGATATTCAAATATTTCACATTTTTCAAAATAAGATAGTCATAGAAACCACGTGAAAAAAGTTTCTTTCGAAAATCCATGAAGATTCTATTACAATAAAACTGCAATTTTATGCTTTAACCCCTAATATTACAAATAAAGAATAATTTACTGTTTCAATTTTATAACCTTAATAGCTTTCGCCAGCGGCTTCGCCCGCGTGGTAAAAAATGTTTAGTGGGATAAAAAGTCCTATCCTATTATCTAAGTCAGCTAATACCCTATCTGTATACCAAATTTCAACAAAATCCGTTCATTAGTTTCGGCGTGATTGACCGACAAACATCCAAACAAAGAAACTTTCACATTTATAATATTAATAAGATATCATCACGGTTTGTAGGTCGTTTAAATACATAAACAAGGGGAGACAAAATTTAATACAAAATTATGTCAGCTCAGTTGTCTTCAGTAATTTTAGGTAAAATTTCCTGATAAAATAGAAAACTCATAAAGAAAACTTCCGTTATTGGATAAACAACCTCCAAAGAAAATACTTTTTGCTTATAGAATATTTCTACGAATATCTATCTAGATTTAAAAAGGCCTTTAATACTTCTCTATTATGAAAGGGTATTCCGGATCTAAAATATTATTCATTAATCAGTACTTATACTAAGGAAAAGTTTTAAAGTCAAGTAAATTATAGTTTTTCCAACAACCAACTCGAAAGATGCTACGAAGTATTAAAATCAAAGAAATTATAGCAGCAGTTTTACTAAATGTTTATCTTTTCTTTTCTTTCGAATCAATTAACGCTTTCCGTTTCTATGTCGCATCTTCTTTATATCGCTTATACATGGGGTATTATTAATAAAATATATTAACTTATGAAGAAAGCTCATGCGATGAAAATATGACGTCTGTAACATCTATTGACGTCTGTAACAAAAAAAATTGTTTAAAAAATAGTCATGATATTTTTAGTATGAATCTATTGTATATTAGACTTATATTTTATGTTCCATTGTGGCGTATTTTAGGGTTCTGTCTCTGTTTTGCCAGCTCAGGTATTTGTTTGTTTTTCAAATATAAACGAGTTACATTTGGTCAGATGACGTCATAACTTTAAGTTTCACTGGTTGCAACCGAGACTAAAAGATTTAATGAAAAATGCTTAAAAATCCGCTAGGTCCCTGGCACCTTAATCCGTCTGCTACCATCATTAGATTTTAAACCTGTATTCACAGTAGTTGCTTGATGCTAATTTCGTTTACGGTTTATATCGGATATATGATAGTTTCGGTTACAGTTACGGATCTCCTAATATTCTTGATTTGCAACTTACTATATTTTCAAAATAAATTATTCATCAATGGTAGATCAAATAAATAAAACATTGTAATACATAATAAAACATACATATGTAAACTTTATAAGAGCAGAGTAGACAAGAGATTGTTTAATGTATTTCACGGTAATAATGGGAAACACTCTAGAAAATTCATTATTCGTGATTTAACTTCACGGGATGTCTTTGTGGAATGCTATAAATTAAATTAAACGGTTGAATGATACTAGAAGTAATGCTCGTAACATATTTTAGACCATTTCAAAGTACAAAGGACATATATAAATTACTTTCAGTGTTTCTAATCGATGATATAATGTAACAGTTTTATTCGTTTTGATTATCAAGAGATGGCGTTAGTGGTTTTGATTTGATTCTATTTTTAATAATTGATGATATTTCCGGTATAATTTGGATTTGCTTTAACCACAGGCATATAAAATGAAGTATAATTGTTCTTTATTTTATATCATCATCATCAGCCCTTTATTTTGTCCCAACTGCAGGGGCTCAGGCCTTCCTTATGGATGGCTAAGGAGCATGAGCCATGACCCTCCACGCTGGCCCATTGCGGATTGTCGGGTATTACCATCAATCCGCATTGGGCCAACTACAAATGCAGTCGGGACCAACGGCTTAACGTGCCTTTCGAAGCACGGAGTAGCTCGAGATAATAATTTTTTGGTCACCCATCCCGTGACCAACTCTTGTGAAAGTTGCTTAACGACAACGATCGCGTGCCGCAGCGCTTATCCACTACGCCACCGAGCTATTCTAATTTTATATGCCTGTTGTTAACTATATAATATCTACAATGTTGTATAAACTTCTAGATCAAAAACTTTAACAATACCCCGAAAACACGCCTTCACACTACCGCGTCTCGAACAATAACAATATTAATAACCCTTATAATTAGCAACTATCTTACAGCAGGAATAGTCAAATAAGCTTTTCTTATTAAGCCAACATAACACCCGTTTACGGACAAGTGATAATATTTTATTTTTTTAAGAATAAAGTAACTTATTTAATGGCGCTCTCTATGAATAGTTTTATTCTGTAAATAAATTAATCTGCTTAATTAAAAGCCATAGCTTTTAAATTAAAATAAATAATATAAAATATATTTTGTAATGTTCTAATTATAAGTAGATTGATAGTTCGGCAGCGTATTAGACAAGCGCCGCGGCCCGCGATTATTGTTGTTAAGCAACTTTCGCAAAAGTCGGTCAAAAATTATTATCACGAGCTACTCCGTGCTTCGGAAGGCCCGTTAAACTGTTGGTCCCGGCTGTATCAGTAGTCGTTAATACCATCCAATCCGCATCGGACCCGTGTGGAGGGTCATGGCCCATCGCCCTTGACCATCTATAAGGAAGGCCTGAGCCCCTGCAGTGGGGACGTAAAAGGGCTGATGATGATGATGATTAAAATTCCACCTAGCATCAGCACGTAACAGGGTTGATAATGAAATAGAGTGATGGTTCAATAAAAAAGTAAAAGTAAAAATATCTCATAAAAATACATATTGAAAGATGATATATTTAAATTTAATTTCGATTTTTGAGATAACATAATAATAATAAGTTGAAAAGCAATTTGACAGGCTAAAACAATCTAATTTGTGCAACAGAATTGGTAACAATCAGGGGCGGAACGTGAATTTGTGCGGCTTTGGGCTAATACTAATCAGACAATTACTGAAGCGATTGTAATTTTGTTAAGGAACTGTTTTCAATAATACCTCATGTAATAAGCACCTTATTGTATATTGTTTTTATTGGGGGTTGATGGCTCTTTATTTCTACGGGCCCTGGGCTTAATCCTGTTAAGCCCTTACGTAGATCCGCCCCTGGTAATAATGTCTACTCTGAAATATAAAACGCTCCACAAATTACGCTGTGATTTTCATCATTTGTTTACGGATTCGAACACGGCGACCTATATAAATGGATCATTTAACTATAAAAATAACACTTAATATTTCATATGCAGTAACGACTTAGTATTGATTGCCACAGATAATATAAAATTATAGCAGTATTTTCAGTATATATTTAAATGTGTTAAAAATTTTCATTCAAGTTTTGTTACTGTCTTGGATTTTATTTTATCGGTATTTTCTCTCACTCAGGTACGTGGCTATTGTCAAGCCTCTACAGCACAGATTAAGCAGGCGAGTTGCTCGTACAGCATTATTCACGGTATGGTGTGCAAGTGCATTACTCGCACTGCCCAGCTTGCTCTACTCCGACACATATAAGAAACAGTAAGTAAATTCAATCAAATCAAATAGTTTACTTTTAATTTACATAAAACAAAATTCTTTACCTTTTATTTTTAACCCCCGACGCAAAAACGACGGGGTGTTATAAGTTTGACGTGTCTGTGTCTCTGTGTGTGTGTGTGTGTGTGTGTGTGATTGAAAGGTGTATAAGTCGGGAGTGTTCTTCACTATGTTTGATGAAAATCGATTCAAGATGGCCGCCGCCACAAAATGTCGGATTACATATTTTGTCACGATTCCATCAATATGTATTATCTAGGTGCTTCACACAGTCGAAACCTTCGCTCAGACAGCAAAGAAACTCTCGCCACTCCTTTTCACCGTACAGGGTTCATTTCAAACTCATTTTCGCTTAAGGCTATACGACTTTGGAACGCACTCCCTCCCCATATTCAAGCTGCTCCAAATAAATTATGTTTCAAAAGACTGTTACGCGATAAGCTATTGAATTCTACTACCGCTGGTAATTAATCTGACTTATTTAAGTATGTATGTATTATATATTTATTTATGTTATGTAATTTGTTATGTTATTTTCGTATATTTATATCCATTTTTTTATATATATCTATTAAGTGTAAGACACTTTATTTATATTTTGCATAGCGCTGCCTCATTAAATTCTTTATGTCTTAACTCTCCGGTTGACTGGTAGAGAATACCTACTGGCATTAAGTCCGCCATTTGTACACTTTATTTGTGCAAAAAAGTTTAAATAAATATGGGTATCAAATAAGAGGGCTTGAGTAGTAGAATACTGAACACTATGACAAATTTCAAATCCAAGATGGCCCACAATAAAAATTTTGGATTACCTACATAGCTCTCACGACTCCCTCAATACGGATATCAAATAGAATAGGTACTATAGGTACACTATGACAAATTACAAATCCAAGATTGTCGCCATCATAAAAGTGCGAAATTATATAATAGATACAGACAGTCACATGTCGGATTACCACAATCTAACACTGAAATATTTTTTCAAATCGGACGAGTAGTTCCTGAGATTAGCGCGTTCAAGCAAGCAAACAAACAAACAAACTCTTCAGCTTTATAATATTAGTATAGATTACCTATTGAAAGCGTGAAGTTATTTGAACTTATGTTATTATACGGTAAGTTATATTTAAATCGGTGTAGCTGTTTCAAATTAAGAGGGGGGGGGAGTAAAAGTGGGGATGACCAATGTTATTGCTATTTTAATAGAATTGAGTCTCATCTTAGAAACTAGATCTGAAATACCTAAGATAAATACCTAACTATATGACTATGCAATACTTGTATGTATAAAAGTAGAAAAACTAAAAGAACAGATAATCACCAAATTAACTGAATTGCAACTTACAAGAAAATTAATCAAAAATGAAGGACTCTCTAAAAAAGCAAGAAAAAATAAATAGTTAAATTAAAAATTGAAAAGACCCCCGACACAATATAATAAAAAAAAAATAAAGTAAAAAGCTTAAAAACAAATTAAAAGAACTATAACTTAATTGTCCACAAATAATACAAAAAAGGGATAAACTTGAAACCCTTTAAAAAGAAAAAAATAACCTTGACATTATGACCCTACATAATTACAGACAACAGCATGTCAGACTATTTCACTTTGAACTTTGCGCTAATATTGAACTGCAAGTAACAAACCTTGCAATAAGCAACCAACCCTAAATATACACAATGATATATCGTACAAATAAACGAATATCAATTAATACCTTTATCAAAATATAAATTGTGCTTATATAAGAAAGAACTACAATAAGAGAGTAGGAATATACCATATCGAGAGCACCTCTCAAATCGCAGGTATACAAATTATAGAAATATTATTGCTTCTAAATTAAAAAAAAAACAAATTATTGCTTCTAAATTTAAAAATGCTACAATGATTTGAATAATAATTAAACAGTGTAAAAATGCGGAAGATGTCGAATGAAAAGACCGTTTCAAGTAAAATATGAGTTATAATTGAGATATTTACAAAGTTATTAAACATTCTCAAATTATAATCACGTGTTAAACAATAAAGAGAAGGGGCGGGAAAAAATAAATTTAGCCTGTTTCCTAACAGAGCGTTTGTTGAGAGCCTGTTTCCTAATAAAGCCCACTGCTGCTAAAAAGCTAATTATAATACGTCACAATTAAAATCCCGCTCTGACTGATCACTAAGGACCAAATATAGACGTCTTTGATAAGGATAAATATGATTTAATTATATTTATTTTAAGTGTAGAACTGCGGCGGTCAAAACAGCGCGCCTTATTAAATCTACTTTCTTGATTAGTATTGCAGCGTTCAAAATAGTGAAGCTTATTACGCAACATCATGTGATATTCACGGGTAAAAGGTGATGAGAGATGACTGTATATCTTTATGTAATTTATTCAAGTCCTCCTTTAATTAATTACCTTTAACCCTATTTCCAATATGACAGAAAGCTTGACTCATAATAATATTATATTTGATCAATATCGCATTCACAAATGCTATTATATAAGTGGATTCTTGAAATTTTCATGTAATAAAAAAGGTGAAAACGCCAACCGAGTCTAACAATATGCCACCGTGAAATTGTCAGTATCACCAATTTATAATCTATTCCAACCAAAACTTACGATAGTTTACAATCTAGCTTTTACAGAAATTGTTTAATTTTTAAACACATCTTTAAAACATGAAAAACTTTTGTAATTTTCATTGCAGATTTAAATAGATAAATATAAAACAAACTAATAATTATCATTGTAAAATAAGAACAATATACATAAGAATGATAATCTTTGAAATGATCAATTACTAATATCCATTGGTAGTAAATGTATTGTTCAAACTAGACTAAATATAGATTTAGTCCTGTCAAATTGCGTTTTCAATTGTGAAAATAACTAAGATGACAGTTGTAAACTTATTTTAGTATATATATGTATAATTACCTTTCTTTTATTACATAGGAGTATGAAACAATGTTAAAACAAGCCCAAATTAAAGTTACAAATGCTTTAGGATAGATTAGAGAATGGTACAACAAAATTGGCACCATTATTTCCCCAATCCCCATCAAGACGTATCCAATATTGTCGTTTATTACAGGATTAATATTGTAGAGCATACTTCCTTAATGAAAGGTAATTAAACAATATCCAAAGATAGTTTCATATAAACGCTATTGCTAATCCTACCAAATCACGAATCGTTAATCTGATAACCCGATGGGAAACTTCGAAACAGCCACAACTGGCAGCCAAGCCAGGTGATCATTTCTCCTTGGCAGAAATTGATTATTATGTCTAATAAGTTTTATTTTTATAGTAAAGTTTATCCATATTTATTTAATTATGGATAATTACTTACCTATTTCGCAGAGATATAGCATTGTAAATGCAAACCTGATCAAATATACTCGTAAGAACGGATTAGATTTAATTAAATAAAAGTTTATTGTTTGCTTTTTAACATATTAAAATGAAAGTATATTTTGATGTTATTTAGAAGAATATCATTATTTTTAAAGGATTTTATTATTTTTTTATCGAATTTTCCTATTCAAATTCTTTTATTTGACTTCATTATAACATTACATACGCATATAAAAAAATATAACTAAACTGCCATCTTGGGCCATTTACTATATTAGATTTATAATTATGTAACTTAACTGTTATGCATTGAAATCTAAACTAAATCTATGTGCAAAATTTCTACTACTTAAAATCCAGTTAAATGCCTTAAAATTTATATGGACTTATAATCCAAGTTAAATAAAACCTTGTAATAAGTAAAGTAGGATTGCATATGCTGATACCTTTGTTCCACGATAACCATAAAGTATTTATTATAAATAAAAAAAAACATACACTCAACAAAAGATATTGATTAAAATATCCAACCAGGAACTTACATATATACTAATTATAGATTTACTGTATAAAGTTACGTATACATTTTCACGACGTCTGTTTCAGTCAATTTAAATAATATTATTATTTCGACATAGATACTATCCCTAAAATCCTAACAACTGGAAATAAAGTTTTTTCATAATATAGGAAATAGAAAGCGAACGCAAAAACTAAATTTCAATTAAACTAACTGCTAGCTAGCACCATCCAAAAATCGTCTGGAAAGTAAATCTACTGTAGATTGTAGACATGCTCGGAAATTGCAGTTCTTTATTCAAATATAGTTATTGTTTGACTTTTATCCAGTTCAGTCCAGTTATCTGTTCATCATCGCTTGTGTTGTTATACCAGTTCCGTCAGCGTAAAAATTTATTTTACGTTAATTAAAAAGACTCGTTCAAAATTTCACGTCTTTGCACTCAGTTTTTTTATACCATAAACAAAGCCTTCTCTTAGAAAAATATAAAATAATATTTGAAATGTAGACTTCCGAGATAACCGGGAACAAGCCATGTCATCATTGAGATATTGAATTGTGATAAGCTAGAGGCAATTTTGGGACGCGCGTGTAGAATGATAATTTACAGCTTAGAAAATAACGCAAAGCCTTACCCATGCCTGCATAATTCAAACATTACTTGTACCACTCCCGACCTTTTTCAGAATACCGTTACGTTGTAACATCTTTATACCTACATTCATTTTCATTCAAGATGTCTACCAATAAGGTCGAATGCGGAAATCTGATTATTATTTATTGACTAGTCAGTGTGAAGAATATATTTGATAAGTTTTTGTTCAGATACATTTTAAGGCCTGCGTGGAGGTTTAGATATCCCTTCATATTTTTTTAATGGGTAAAGCCCTCTGTGTATAAACACATTGTGTATTATGCCATAAATTTATGGAGAGATACTCCTGGATAATAATACATATAGTGTAAGTAGTGAACACGACGCCAGATTACCATGATATTTCAAATTTTAGCAGTTCATTTCAAAGTCTAGACCCAAAACATTAAGGTTTGAAAACAAGTGTAGAAATTTCACCACATAAATTATTATAACTTTTTCTATTATTATAAAAAAAAACTACTGGGTTCCATTTAATTATCGTTATCAAAAACTGAACATAAAATTACTAGATTAAATAAATGAAAGATATAAGATTTAAGTATCTTTATTTTCATAAAACTGGCTCCTAAAATGTTGCGAAATAAATCTTAGAATAAATTCTGTTATTTTATTCTCATTCATGGATGTTATTTCATTGAATTAAATTCTTATCTTTTTCAAATAAACTCGAAACCATGTTGTATTCTATTTCAGTTCAATATTACATGAACTTGGAATGTTCGAGACAAATATTTCACCACGATAAAGTCACGGCCACGCTGTACTTTGTCAAAGCCGGGTCAGGTACTTAATGAAAGGCGGGTACAATAAATTGAAGTTCGGTTTTCAATTACAAAATTAAACGCTTTAAATTTATTGAAGAGTATGGTCAAAATATTTGTAATTGAATTGATCTCTTTCAATTACTAGCCATACGATGTATTGTTTTCTTACAATAATGAAAATTCATCTCGATCTTTCAATTTCTTTAAGCGCTTAAATATTTTATCATGGAAAATCTGTTTATAGCTCAATGGTTCGAGCAATCACACGGATTCTGAAAGGTTGTGGGTTCGAGGCCCATTTCGGGATATCTGGACCAGGCGGATTTTAAAAGGATTTCTCATTAAAAATAATTCATATGATGTTAATAATTCGTAATTCATTATGAATACAAAATTGATCAAAAGTAATATTATATATAACTTAAATACTTAAAAATATTTCAAACTTTCGTAATGAAAAATGTTTAAAAAATGACTTTATTCCTAGCTCTCTGAGATGGGTCTCGAACCCATGACCTTTCGTAATCTCGGTGACTGCTTTATGGTTTTGAATCTCATCTTAGAGTGCCAGGGACAAAGTGGATTACTTGAGCATTTTCCATGAAGAATATTTTTAAGTAGGTATAACATTGTTAATGTAAAATTGACCAAATATAATAATTACATACATTTTATCATTTATCATACTTTCTTATATAGTAAACTAATGAACTGGCTGAATGAAAATATTTTATTTTTTCATACTATTTAAATACTGACACATGTATCATCCTTAATCGTTCATTTCCTTGTTTGTTTCCTTTTAACACGCAACATAACACCATCGTTGTTGTTAAAGGTACATCAACGGAGAAAGGGAAATATGTTTCATCAAATGGCCCGACGGAAGCTACCCCACATCCAAGACAGATTACTGGTGAGTTTTCGCTCAGTCACCTCTTCCATAACATTGTTTAAGAGAATTATATTTGACTATCTATATGTGTGCACGGATGATGCTTTTATTTTTTTAAGTGCAGCAGATACGATGCTTGGACTCGCGGTGTTCCAGCCATTTTTATTTCAAAATTAATGTTTTGTTTATTAAGTTAATATTGATAGATCGTGGTTTTCTTTATTGTTCTTTCTTTTAATATTTTAATGGAATGTGACCTCATAATCTAATAACGTTGTAACGGTGTGCCGTACCACCGTTTATTTCGTCCTAGGTTTCAGCATGCAAACTTTTTGTCTTTGATCTTTAACGTCATTTATTTTTATTATTCACATTTCGTAATTTGAAATTTTGACCAATCAAATATGCTTTTTATATATCAGTTCGCAAAAAAATCTTCTTTTCTGAACATATTATTTTAAATCGAATAAATTTAAATATAAATATTATAATAGTTAGATTAAATTATAAATTATATATATATATAAGCGTCCAAGTTTTTATTAAGAAACCCAAAAAGAGGTATATCTTTGTTTTATTTAGCAATTTTAATTTTATATTTAAGTTAACATACAAACTATTATTATATTCATTTTTTGTTATTACTGTTTCTTTTCTTTACCCATTATTACCATAAAATAAATAAATTCTCAAGCTAATCAGCCTTTTCATTAATTCGCCCAAGCATCGAACACCCGTCACAACGTTAGTTGTTGGTGACATAATTCTAATTTATACTAGCTGTGCTCACGATTTTATCCGCGTGGAAATTAAACTCAATTAATCCTTATTACATAAGCTATTAGTAAGGGAAAGTCCCGTCAAAATCAGTCCAGCCGTTTCGGAACCAAAACAAACAGTTTAGTTTAATGTTATAAACAATCACTCAAACTTTATTTATTTGTATAGTTTATATTGTAAATATTCTATATATATTTGGAAATGGCATGATTTTGTTAGTATCGTAACATCTGTTAGAGCGGAAGAAACTCACCGGGACTTTCTTTGCTCGTTTTTCTAATAAACCAAAAGACACCCTAAAACAATGCCAGGCGATTCTAAAGTAATTTTCTTAAGTTTATTTGAATAAAGATGATTTCGTCTCTGATTGAATGAATTATGAGGTATCGATAATGGTACCGCATAGTCGCTTGACCAAGAATACAGAATAATTACTTAAACTTAATTAAAATATCATTCACCGTGTAAAACGTTATTATTATCCAATATTTTACAAATCATAAGTTGTTATTTGCAAATACATACAATTTTGATTTTTGATTTTGATTTTTTTGAATAATCTTTCCTCGCACTCTGACCTAATTGACTTGCAACACAGTCCAAGCTCGCACTTGTCAACGTCACTTCGAAAAACAGCCATTGATCATAAATAATAAGCAACTTAATAATATTTTTTGCTCATTTGAGAGTTGATTTTACATAATTTATAGGTTATTAGATACCTTAAGACGCAAAAACTGACTACCATTTACTCTAGTACGAAAAAAAATGTTTTATACTTACTTTGCGAAATATAAGGTACAGAGAGCCAAAATAAATATTGTAAATCATTTTATAATAAAGTATGAGTTTAAACGATTCTGCTATTCGTTTTCCGTCTACGTAGGTAAGATGTTTGTGATAAAACCTATTTTATTAACTTAACCCTTTACCGCATATGGGCCCATATATGGTATTGAAGTTTTAATTAATTTTTATTTCCAAACTAAGTATTATAAAACAATTCAAACTATTTTAATTCATTAAATATATATTTAGCAATAATAAAACGCAAAAATATTGTCTATGGTTTGATGACATTTCGAAATAACCTCACTTTTAAGCAAGTGGGCGAAAAAGCAGAATCGAAGTGCGAGTTGTTCATTTTCAAAAAACTATAACAGAGTAATACGTAAGTACTTTTTGATAAAAAAAAATTTTTCATGGAGTCGATATATTCATCTTTCTCGACGAATGACAATTTTTCCGCTTTTCAATTGTTTTTTATACTTTACAGCTAGTTTTTTTTCGATTCCATATTTGGTCTCGTATGCACTAAGACATTTTTTTGCTAGGACAAATATGGAATCGCATGCGCTCAAGAAAATTAGCATTTAAAGTTTTATTTATTTATAACAGCTAAAATTTTATACATATTACACATTTTTATACATTTTATTTATTTATTATGCTTTGCTGGCTTCAAAAATTTGCCTTTTCTCTTGCTTGGCAGAATGGACCCAGCGCGTTTTTACGGAAAAAACCTTCATACTAATTTCATTCCTGGTGATGGCATGCTAAGTGATGATGATGATTTAGATTCCGAAAGCGATGTTCCCTCAATGCCTGTCCCATTCAGATCAAATCTTGGAACACCTATATCTAAAAAGACGAGAAAAATCCCAGAAAAACATCAAGAGCTTCCCTAAACTCTGTAAGGACGGACAGTATAGGTCATTGGCCTGAATGGCAGAAGAATCGTCAGCATTGTCAAGTATGCTCAATGAAAACTTATACTAAATGCTCCAAGTGTAAAGTTTTTTTATGCTATAATGAAAAAAGAAACTGTTGCTTTCAATTTTTAATATAATTATATTGTTATTATTTTTTCAATATTCTATAAATTCTTTGTTTTGCTGCATACAATACCATATGTGTCTGTAATGGTTTTTGTCTCAATGCATACGAGCCCATATATGGTTCCGTAAAAAAAAAACCAAAATATAAAACTTTTTCAAAATTTCTTTCTCAATATGTCTTATTGATGATTAAATAAAGCTATTACCACACTGAAATATTTTTTTTTTCAACGCTATAATAAATCATGCAGTAAAGGGTTAAGTAAGTTGTAGTAATTTGTGTAAAAAAATAATACGTGACTAACCAATATAAGTTACTTTATGTGACTAACATTAGAAAAGATAATCTAGATTTACTCGAGCAGATTTTTTTTATCCAAAAAAAAAACATATTACTCGCCTTTTTTAGATCTAGCAACATTGTTGTTGGGTGGCAAGATTGTTTCTGTAAATAACGAAATCCTATCTCATCAGCGTTCATAAATATGTGCATAGGAAGCGGCTTATTTATTAAATTCTCATTTTCAGACTCGCAGTCTGATTTGTACAGATTCATCCAATCATGAAACAACGTGAATAATGTTAAAGTCTTTTCCAAAACAGTCATTAACCTATTCAAAGCAATTTTAAATCGTTCAAAAGTTTAATTAAAATTCATGAGTTCAACAAAAAACTACCTAATATGATATAATCGCTTCACAAAAACCGAAACCAACTGCCAAAAAAAATTGAATAACAATTTTTAGTAATCACCAAGTTTCTCCAACTAGGTGATTTCTAAAAATTGTTATCATTTTTACACATTTTTTATTTATTTTATTCAATTCGGGCAAGTTTCTGCTGACCATGCTTTTAACTTTAATTTCAGTTTAATTTCTTGTCTTTTCTAAATTATTTATTGACCAAAACCTAAAAAGTTAGTTCTTCCGGTTATTTTGATATAAAACCAAACCTGATACAATTCGATAAAATTAAAATGGAATAATGTTAAAAGAAGAACATTTCGTCATATTGATACTTTTTTCTTTCTTGAAGTCTTTTAAAAACTTAGTTTAGTTTAAACTTCTTATTCTTTGGATACCCTCATTAATTTAACCAACATTTGAAATTTGTTATTCAAATTTTTATATTTACTTAAGTTAAGTATCTTTAATAAATACCTCTTTTTTTCTGCTTAAAGTGATTTTAAGTGTAACCCTCAGATTTTTAGGGTAGAAGTTTTCATAGCCGACCAACTTTATTTGCTAGATAATAAAAACTTTTTCTTTATAATCATTTAAAAAGATTTTAATATCAATCTCCTTTTTCAGCTACAACATAGTGTTTGTGTCAGTGACCTACGTTTTACCTATGTCAATAATGGTATGGGCTTACGTACGAATGAGCGCAGCACTACGAGGTCGAGCCATTGGCGAATGCACTCACCATCAGATGCAAGTTGTCAGAGCTAAGAGAAAGGTGAGTCTATAGCATTCGTGTTAAAGTTACTACCCGCGATCATAATATATAATATATATCATAGAAAAGATCTTATTTTGTAGAGTTTTTAGACTGCACTGCTTTTATGGAAGTTTAAAAATGTGCGCGCATTATTTATAAATAGTGTCAAGAGTATCGCGTATCTAGAGCTAGATTGTATTAATTATCATTAATACTTTTTAATAATAATTCAGTATATTTGACCTGACCCGTCAACGCATTATAAATCTAACACATGGACCTGAAAATTTGCAGACTTTTGAATTCCACCAATTTATTTCTTCCATTCAAGACTACTTTTTAATATTTTTTATTTATCGCATGGAATTTAGAATATATTACAATAATAAACTTTTCTTACAGTTTTGTTGAGGTACACCTACGATATTATAAATAGAGCTTTATGGATTTACATGCCATGTTTAAAGTTTTGAGTAAAGTAGATGAACCGATTTTAACCATTTTTAACGGTAGAAGTAAATGAACCTTTGCCATTATTCGAAATTTAGCCGGTGACTGAAACTGACACTTGTCTGTTGATATTTGTATTTTTCAAAATTAATAATATGTAATCGAAAATTGTCTTTATGAAATGAAACAAAACATAGGTATAAAACTTCTATTAGAAAAAGAAATTGTGTAACAAAAATTTGACCATTTTCCACTTCACAATCATAGGTAGTGACAATACCCATTAATAATACATTTCTGCGGTTGTTTCCTTTTTTTTCTGATAAATATGAACAGTTTAAGTGAGTGATTGTTTTGGGTAATATTGTTATAGAGGTAACGGCAAATAGCGGTGCGTCCTGTCACATTTCTATATTTTGATTTATTTATACATATACAGTGTTAATATTAAACAAGGTTTATCTTTGAAGCGAATTTACGCTGAGACTACACTTAGTGATAGTCAAAATTCACATTA